TAGTATAATAAAAAATACTGAATATTAGACTGTAAAGTGAAAGAAATTGAATATATCAATTGTTATATGAGAAGTGAGAAAGAAGAAATTGAAACTTGAATCTGAATCTATGATATAGAAATAATGCGAATTAAAATCGATAGCAAAGTGATTTAAAACTTCAAAAATCATCTCGTATTTATAGATAAAAAAACCCGCATTATTTTTCAAATTTGAATTTCAAAAAGATAACAGTATAATGTACTAATAGTCTAATACGAAAAAAAAGGCAGCTATATAGCTGCCTGTGACCTGCTGCCTTAGGCAGCAGGTAAAAAAAAAAATTTTCAAATTTTTTTTTCTTTTATTTGCTCGGGCCGAGCATTTTTGTCACGGGCCATTTTTGGCCCGTGACACGAGCCGGCCCGTGTGGCTCGGCGAGCCACACGGGCTTGCTCGGGCTCAGGCTCGGGCCGGTCTCTTATTTTGAGGCTCGATCCCTACGAGCCACGAGCCGGGCGGGCTCGGGCTTTTTCCGAGCAGAGCCACGAACCGCCCGAGCCACCGAGCCTTTTTGACACCCCTACATTCGGCCATCAAGTCTCGGAGGTTCAGTTTCTCAACCACCTCGGCTTTCTCATCCAATTTCAGTCATCAAATCTCGCAAGTTCGGTTTCTCAACCATCTTGGCTTCCTCATCCAATTTCAGCCATCAAGCTTCGCAGGTTCGATTTTTCAACCACCTCGGCTTCCTCATCCAATTTTAGCCATCAAGCCTCGCAGGTTTGGTTTCTCAACCACCTCGACTTCATCATTCTCATCACTCAGACAACAACAAATCTCTAACTCCAACCATGATATAAATATCTATACTTGGACTTGGGAGACTATTATTCGGGGTACAAAGATTTCTTTCAAATTAACGATCATTATGCTTTACTTCATCAAAGTTCTTGTATTACATAAATGACTGTATTTCGACTTAGGGGACTATTGTTACGTGTTAGCAAACTTGGGCAACCCACCAAAGCCCACCGCTAGCACATGCCGAACCACGTGGCACTCAATCCGAGGTGATTTGCATAGCTGAGGCCCATTGATCCTGGCCTCATGAGGAACTCCAAGGCCCATATGCCGAGGCCCATTGATCCTGGCCTCATAAGGCACTCCGAAGCCCATATGCCAAGGCCCTTTGAAGGTGGACGAAGCCCTATGTTGCTGAAGCTCCTTAGCCGAGGTGACAGCATTCGAAGCACAAATCAACATTTTCCATAGACACCTCTCCCAAGAGATCTTATACACAAAGATCTTACTTGAATGATTGATAGGACGTTTGTCATGAGTGTATTCGTTAAGCCTTGTCACTAGTAGAGGCAGCTCTACCAACCAAAAAATGTATAACAGGCTAGGTGCGGCTGATTAGCCTACAATTTGACGTGTAAACTAACCGGATGAGGCCACGTGTACCCCGAAATAAAGGTCAGATCTAACTTGTGACACTATAAATACTCCCCCACATACCCCATACAAAGGTTAATGCAATAATCAATACAAGAAATCATACTTTACTTAACTCTCTCTCTTATATTATCTTGCAACACAAATGAGTTCATACAAATTTGGATACACGTTTGCAAACATCGATTGGTAATTATTGTACAATAGGTCAACGAACATCTCACCGGATTCCCCCTCGATCCGTCTGTTCTAGACCGTCCACGTGTCTTAGTGTGTTGGATTTTTGCTCACATGTGCGCGGGTGGGTCCGGCATCTATTAGCAACATATTATGGGGTCAATAGTAACTATTTAATAGCTAAACTTAAAAATGCATTTTAGCAATCACTGAACTGCGTAGCGTATCATCCATTTATTACTTCAATGAGATGATCCATTAGTTCATGTGGTGCAATTCAGTGAGCATTAAGATAATTTTTAAGTTCAATTATAAAATAGTTACGCTAAGGATCTATTTGATGGAAAAGATAAAATTTGAGTGGAAAGAAAACGAATTTCAGGGAATTGAATTGCTTAAAAAAAATTTCCCGGGAATTGTAAATTATTGTGTAAATGAAAGTGTTTTTTAGTGTTTGTTTAGTTTTATTTTACATGGAAATTGTCAATTCAATGTATAGAATTTACTGGTATTGGAGATGAAATTTATTTCCATAGCCAAAAAAAATAAATAAATGAAATTCAATAAAATCATCTATCTGTTGGTGTACATTTTGCTTTATTTTACAAGAAAATTGTCAATTAAAGAGAAATTTTTTTACAATAATTCTTATAATTTGTTTCTTTTTCCCCCCCCCCCCCCCCCCCCAAAAAAAAGAAAGAAAGAAAATCGAAAACAAAATTTCGCTAGATTGAGAATTTCAATTCATTGATTTCATGGAAAATGCTGACGTGGCTAAAATTTGGGAATTTCAATTATAGGGAAAATTTTGGACAATCAAAAGTTGGAAAATGAAATCCTTCCATAAAAAAAAGTGGAGTAATCAAATGGTGCCTAAGTATAATTCATTGACCATTCAAATAATTAACTCGAAAAGAACCAAACCAAGGTGTTGTTTTTAAGGTTAAACATGACGTACTGCTACAACTAGTAAACATGTCGTAGTTGCACTTGGATTTGTCCTCGTACTTCATAAACTCCTAAAAAAAACCTCAATTAAATAAAATTGCATAAATAAAAAAATTAAAAAAAAACTAAATAATTACAAATTTGGCCTTTAATGAATAAATCATTCCAAACTGCATCACAAATTTGCATTCTTGACAAATTCAACACCACATTGAAGTTTTTCGAGTACATAACTTTAGTCACAAGCTTCGTCCAGACAAAATTCAGCACTACAATCACAAAATGCTTGACCCAAAAATGTCCTATTTTAGCAAAGATACAGCAATCGGTCAAAAACCTGGGGGCAAGAAACGTATCCTAATTTTTTAAGTAGAGCCAGAATACTTACCGTCTAATCAAGTACGAAAATATTAAATCATTTAGTGTCACCATTGGTGCGAGTTGTAAGCAGTCTTTTTCTTGAGTCAAGCCGAGCCTCATTTCATTTTCGTAAGGAGAATGAGTGCACCGAAAATTAAAGCTCAATTGAAAGAGGTTTATGTGTTTGAGGGAAAATTATTTAAATATGTCCAATATAGGAAGTTTATGAAAGCAAAGACTTTTATATATGGTTATATTTTGGAATGATATAATCATGTGTAGCATATATGTTTTCTCTACGTGTGCACTCAAGGAGGCGCAAATCACGAATCGAATTGTACAACGGGCTTTGAGCTTATGTGTGAGCACGACCTTCGTACATGAATGTTGGACCAAATGGACCAAAAATTGGCCCCTTATGAGGGTGCACATTATTTGATTATTTCCTATTTTTTGCTTCCAACTTACCCTTTAACTTTTGAAACTGTTATAAAATAAAGTTAATGGCATATTTATGGACGAATTAAACTCACCATTCATGGGGCCAATTTTATAATAGAGCTCTGTTTTCCATTTTCCACACCAAAAATTTTCATATTCTATTTGCATACTCAATAATTTATAGTTCTTTGTCTGTTAGAAAATTTCCAATTCGCGTCTTAGTCTGGTGGTGCTGCTCTAACACAAATTCTCTTCGCCAATTGAAGTGATCAAATTCTATTGATTTTTCCGTTGTATCCTAGGACATAAATGCTTAAAAAAAACCTCTTGCAGATATAGTGAAGGGTTGAATATGTTTTAAAGAAAATGTACTTACACAGGTCTCGATTTGCAGATTTACACTTGACGGTATATTTCTGCCATTTTTAATTCCCAATTTTTTTGTTCATTCTAGATTCATAAAATATTATGTTTTAAAATTAATTTTGTAACGGTGTCAAGTAATTTAAAATTTTCGTAAATTAGCTTTTCATTGATCCAATTTTCACCAGCAATGTAATATCAATTGCTTCTAGTCAACATGAAATTAACAAGTAATTCTTGGAAGACAATATAGAATTTTGAAACTTGGAAAATAGACAACACAAGAAATTGAAATTTTTTTCGAGTTTATGTCACATTAGTTTTGGTGCCTACTACTGCAGACGAGGCAATATTTTGTACTATGCCATTGTCATGTTTAAATATTAGGCAACATGAATTCTGAATTCGCAGCTCACTCTCCCGTGACTGGTATTGTCTTGTAGGATTATAATACTTCCGTACGTTTTTGGTATTGAGCGAAACTGGGACAGTTTATGAATTAAAATTTTAACTTCTTTTTAATTTTTAGTACCATTACTCCATATCAAACATGTAAGAAATGTTGTAAGTTACCAGAAAAATGAGGCCTAATTAGACATTGCCGGTGGGGATATCTTTGAAGCTACAGAAGTACATGGCAAATGTCTACGAAAATATTGATATATTTTTCCAAACAAGCATCTACAGAAGGCATGAAAGCTCTGTCGGGGAGAGAGAGAGAGACGGGGGAGGGGGGGTCAGCACCCAACAAGTCATGGCGACCGCCCATGCTATCTTCATCGATTTATTTATTTATTTTCCCATATATTGGTCAGTCACCCTGCAACAGCTCGAGTTGTAGCTTTAGTACAATTTTCAACAGCTTGTAGTTCTTCTATCCAAATAAGCTCATTTTAAAGAGCTTTTAAGCTTAATCAAACATGATCTAGTTTAATTGGTTGGCCCCACAATGATTGTTCAAGTTAGAGCCATTCGCATAAATATAAAAACATGGAGATGGCAAATATTTTTTCCCAAGTACAAATTTGAATCAGACCATCAATGATTGGGCAGAATGGGAATGGAACTTCTAGTTAGAATTAGACAAGCACATGATTCTTCCCTTGATCAAATTCCAGAATCAAAGTACTGAGCAATCACATAACAAGAATTTAATAGTATTGCCTCATTCATCGAAACAGATTGTACAATACGATACCATAATCACCGTAAAGTTGAATAATATGGCAAGTAATCAGACAACTTTTGAACTCAAGAAGATACAACCATCAAGAAACCATAAAATCACGTCTATAGAGATCTTTACAAGAAAAGTTAAGTGGTCTTGCATTACACAAAGGCACTAAATTTCAATCACCTGGCCTAATTCGAGGTTGCAAGGCAACAATTTGAATCATTCAACTCAATCTTATTCCTGAGAAAGTTTTAAAAAAGGGGGAATTGAAAACAAGACACTCAGCTATGTTTGTTATCCAGTATTAAACAGTAGCATCTTTTTTCGTTTGTAATCCTCTCCAAGATGTGGTAAAAAACATTGTAGACAAGCAAGTCTTTCTGCGGTTCAACATTCCTGGAGCCAATCAATTTGGCACTGTGGAACTTGGCGGGGTAACTTTTTCTTTGACTGCTAGTTGAGGTTCTGCAAATAAAAACATGAATGTGATGCTAATGCAAGTTTGACTTGACAAAAGTTGGAAGGTGAAGAACAGATGAGCACATTGCTGATGCAGAGAGGACGCTGAACTACAAAGTTAAAAGAAAACCTGGTAATGACCACACAGGAGAGAAACCTCCGCCTGTCTGAAGGAAATGAGTGTTTCTTATAGCGCAGTTTTGATTCTATTATAATTTCTGCACTTCAATTTATTTGCCTACATACACTAATTCTACACGAAGCAGAAGAGCTAGAATAACCAGAATGGAGATCTTCAAGGAATAGATAAGATCCACTGAAAGGACAGAGTCCCACTGGTATCTGTGTTCTGCAGATGAAAATTGATCACGTGCACAAGTTTCGTTTTCCATAGCTTGATACACTAATCTGGTTGACTCACCTTATGTTAGGATCACGTAGGAGACATTGCATAAAATTATGCATCCATCTCTCTCTCTCTCTCTCTCCCCCACACACACACACACTAATTGATCACGTGCACAAGTTTCATTTTCCATAGCTTGATACCCTAATCTGGTTGACTCACCTTATGTTAGGATCACGTAGGAGACATTGCATAAAATTATGCATCCATCTCTCTCTCTCTCTCTCCCCCACACACACACACACTAATTGATCACGTGCACAAGTTTCATTTTCCATAGCTTGATACCCTAATCTGGTTGACTCACCTTATGTTAGGATCACGTAGGAGACATTGCATAAAATTATGCATCCATCTCCCTCTCTCTCTCTCTCTCTCTCTCACACACACACACACTAATTGATCACATGCACAAGTTTGTTTTCCATAGCTTGATACCCTAATCTGGTTGACTCACCTTATGTTAGGATCCATCTCTCTCTCTCTCTCACACACACGCGCGCGCATCCACTGGCATATACACAGTCACATCAATGGCAACTATAACGAGTATCATATCATTAGACCCGATCTACTGTCCACGGAGTGGACAAAAGTTATAATGCCCACTACAGGTATGACAATATATGATTTTGTCGCGTCAGCAATAAAGGTATAACGTGGCAACACCTAGGGCTGGACAAAACTCCCAAACCGAACCGACCGAACTGAACCCGAACCGAATAGAACCGAACCCGACGATTCTTCTCAAGTTAAATACCCGAACCGGTATTTGAATCAGGAACCGACGGGTATGGTTCGGTTCTCGATTCTAGGCCAAGACCCGAAGAACCGAATAAGAACCGAGTCTCTATAATTTTTTTAATTAATTTATTTAAATAAGTAAAATTATTTTATTTTTTCTAAATAAATTTGTTAACTAGTTAATTTAGTTCAAACCACAAAATATGATTTTCCTATTTCTAATATTCAGTTCAAAATCGACTTAATCAAATTGATCTCAATTTTATCCAAATCTGATATTCTACTGTAGTATCATTTCTACAAGAGAAAATCGAATTAAAACTCTACAACATCTCTCTTAATTATTTTGAGCTCGCTATCTTTCTCTTTCTGTGATTTTAATAATCAAATTTATGAAGAACTTAGCAAAGAGAGACGTGAAACACATAATATTGAACTTCGTTATTTTATAAGAGCTATTATTAAATATATTATTAATTAAATTAACGTAACTTTGTATATATTAAAAAATTTAATTATAATACGGAACCGAACCGGATCGAACCGAACAGAATGGAACCGAACCCGAACGGTTCCGTAATTAAATTTGGACCCGACAGTTCCACTTACTAAATACCCGAAAATTTCAGGTCGGTTCGGTTCTCGTTAGAACCGAACCGAACCGAACCGGATCATGTCCAGCCCTAGCAACACCATATGTTATCACACTAACAATGAACATTATAACTCTTGCTTATTGTGGACAGGAGATTAGGCCCAATCATATCATATGACAATGAATGTAAGCTTTCTTGGCCAGATATTAGATCCGCCACCTATTAGTTAATACTCCGTACCCCTATAACTTTGAAACTTTGGATGGATGTCTCTGAAGTTCACATGTTGAAGTAAACTCAAGGATACAAAGAAAGAGAAACAGCGGAACACTAAGACTAAGAATTGGAGGGCTAAAGTTTATTATTCCCTTACTATATACTAGCTTCATTTAATCACAATTCCTTTAGTTATATGGAGGGCCAAGTATTGGATCATACAATACTTATCACAGCCTTGACTCTCAGGATTTGTATTCCACACGAATCTCAACTTCAAAAGCAGTTGTGCTACGAATATCTAACTACACCCATTAATCAATACTGCACCTCATACTAGCATTTTCAGATTACACACTAGTCAGCATCAATGATCTCTCCGAGAATGTATCTTAACTAGAATCGAATGTAGAGTGCATTAAACTAATTATAACCAGTGAAATAAAGAATCTTATTCAGCAATCCCACGGAACTTAGGAGAGAAATAAAAAATAAGTCCGGTGTGTCTCTAAAAAGAGATGGAAAGAAAGCTCACTCGATATAAGTGCCTTCGGCCTGGTCTTGAACAAAATTTTGTGGCGAATAATTCCAATCACATCCAATTCCACCCGCAAAGAATTAATTTCCGTTTCGCCAATCTCTTCTTCATTTTGTAGTTTAATCTTCTTCAACACTAACATGGGCTTCTTCAGCTTCACTTTTGTTCCAGTTAGCTCATGGTATCCAACTGAAAACGTGTGACTTTCCTGAAAAAAACCCCACAAAAATCCTCCCAAATTCTCAATAAATAAACGGAAATCCAGTTAACAAAAAAAGTAACCCATTAAAGAGTTTTAAGTGAAATAAAAAAAGAAAAAAAAAAGAAACCTGAGACTGTCGGCAGAGAATGCCGATTTGAAGGTTCTGGAGGCTGTTTTGAAAAGAGGGTTGTGCTTCAACCGTGCCTTGGAGTTCCACGATTGCCCATTCTGGGCAGTTGCCTTCTCCACAAGTGCACTTCACTTGGATTTGCATTTCCTCCTTTTCTTTCAACAATAGCACGCTAAATTCGAGATTTGAAATTGAAGCAAAAGAGTGAGTAATTGGGAAGGGAAAATGGATTTGGCGGCAATTATAGGTACTTCCCGCTTTGATAAAACGATGTCGTTTGATATCACAATTTGTTTTCTTTTGAATTAATTAAGTCAGTGGTTAATCAAATTCAACTAATTAATCATAACGATAAGATAATTATATTGACAACAAAGTTTTGTCATCTCTCCACATTTTAGTTGTAATGTTTGCTCAATTTCTCTATACTTTTTCATCTTGTTTTTATTTTTAATATTCAGTTAAAACATCGAAAAATATTATATTAAATATTTATATTTGTTGCTTATCTTTATTATTTAAAAATACGAAGAAGAAATAATTCTTTTTGCTTTCTTGTAAAGGATTTTTTTTTCTCGATGTGCTAATTAATAGAACATTTAAGATAAAATATGACGAAAAAAAGTTTGAAATATAAATACAAAAACGAACAAACACGTTTAGTACAATTTAATTGATTGTTAAGTGTCAATATAAATACACTAATAATAATTATGAAATTAGTCAAACGTAGATGACTTATTAAGCCCCTATTTGGTGTGACTTAAAAATATTTAAGTTAAAATTAACAATTAATTTTAATTATATATTTTATGAGATGTAACTTTTATCAACTTCTCAACCACATGCTTAAAAATTTCTTATTAAGATGTATTAAAAATCTAATTTTAAACACACATTTTATGACCCGTAACATCTAATCATGCAAGGCTACTATGCCAAAAGCAAGAACTTGCTCTAAGTACAACAACCCGTGTTTTTTTTTTTTTTTTTTTTTTATAAAAATACGAACTAAAGAGTTTTTGTCTCTCGAGATCATTAGTTTCTGAGAGGTTAGAAGTATATCTTCACTTGACAAAACAAGAATGCGCGTTTATTTGATCTTGATCCTTGTGGAGCGAAAGTGAGACTAAACTAGATCTGCATGGCCCTCCTACTAATTCCCCCCCCCCCAGTGGGTGTAAAAGAAGAAAAAGAAACATAAGTAAGAAGATAGCAGGCTAGTTATACTTTTCAACTAGTATTAATTATACTACAACAGTAAAGAGGAATCAAATCAGCAGCTGCAGGAAGGCAAGAATACAGTTAAAAGACTAAAATTCTTGTCACGGTACAACATTCACACACAGATCTCAAGCTGAAGTTTTGCTATCACCATACATTTCTTATGTGCACTTCTACTCCATGCAGTAGTGAAAACTTGAATCCACAAAATTCTTTCAGCTACCATTTGCTCCTATGCAAGGCTGTCCTGCACCATCAAAATCACTAAATAAAATATTCCACCAGCAAAAATTATCTAAACTGTACTTTTGAGGCATGTTTGGAAAAGTAGATTGCACAGTACTATTAAGGAAAGTTATAATCATGTTCATTATATTGTTGAGTCATGCCAGTACTACGTACCAAATATGAAACAGTAGTATTATGCATGGCTTTCGTGTGCTGTGAAACGGTGTCTATAAAAGATTCAACTCGCAAAAGTCATCTAACCTGAAATTTGGCAGCACTAGGCCATTATCTCTACTGGTTTCTGATGAGTCCAGTGGCTGGTTTGATGAATTCTGAACATGAGAATTATCAACCATGGGAACTTCACCAGTGAGAGTTTTAACTGCAAACTCAAAACATGGATCTGCCCATACATCCCCGGGAGGCATGGGAACTGAAATTGCACTAGACGACGGCAGAGAAGACACTAAACCGTCATTAAACTTGTTCACATCTTCTATTGGTATTGCACCAGTAAGAGTTTTTATTGCAAATTCAATGCAAGGATCCTTCAATAAATCGTTGAATGAGGTGTCAATAGGCATTTCTTGTTTCTCACCTCCATTATGGTCATCCCCAGCATGCGGTTTTGGAGAAGAAAGATCTCTAAGAGGCAAAATAGCAGAACGTTTCTGCTTATTGTCATCTGAATTTTCACTTTTGAGCTTCTCAAATCCATTTGAAGAACTATGATTACAAAATTTATTGGCGCCATTAACTTCTGTCTTGCCTGAAAGTAAAGCTGCTGGTTGAGCTTCATTTTTTGGTTTTACTTCCACCAACCGATCGACTTCAATCTTAGCAAGTCGTTTTGAAGTTCTTCGAGGTAAGTCACCTAGCGTTTTGCTATTCAACCTTTTCCTCTTTTGTGGGTTTGTTCCGTTTTCATGCTGTTCCATTCTGTTTACCTGCAGTTGCATATCTGGAAGTTCCCCAGTTACAGATTCATCTTGTTTTAATTTTTGCACCAAGTTATTCGCCTCAGGCATATTATCATTGTTCATTTCAGCCCTTTCCAAACCTGCAGCAATTTTAAATTTTAGATCACAAGGAAAGTCTCAGTTCAATTATGCAGAACAAAACTACTAAATCAAATCCATTTCTCTACGAGGAAAAGCATCTTGCTTAAATTACATCTTTCCATGCACAGAAAACTATGGGGCATATTTATGTCTGGTTTCCTTGAAAATAAAGTGATGCCTGTACTTCAAGAGAAATGGAGAAATTGATATTACAAAAAGTCATCACAAAACAAGAAAGAGAATAGGAACAAGTGCCATGTGATCAGTGAAGAAAACTACAGCTGTATTCAGTGATGACCACACATCAAGGTGCAATTCTAGAACTTCGCACACACCCGAAATTTTTTTCATTGAACGAAATGTAAAGTTTGTAGCTAAGGACATGATCAACCTGACGTTAAGCTTGGATCCCCATTAGCATTTTTATCTACTTCATTGTCAGCTGATTTTATATTTTGCTTCACAGTGTCTTCATGTTGTTCCACTTTGTTTACTAATGATAGCTTATCTGAAAAATCCCCAGCTACAGAAACAGATTTTACACTTTGCTGGTTATCATTGGCTTCTGGTGGATTATTCTTCGTTGAAGCACCTTTTGAACCTGCAATGATTTCAAACGGAACGTTGTACTTCAAATGGGCAGAAAGTAAATGACACGCAACACAAACTTTCATAGCCCCCGTTCAATTCAACTAAAAATCAAGTTTAAAATCTAAGTCAAGTAACAATAACCACACATTTCATGGCCGACGACTTTTCAACCACACATTGTCACATTCCATAAACTTTGATAAAAATCTACTAAAAACTTTATTTTTATCTAAACCAAACAGGGGCATAGTCAAATTTTCAGTTTCAATATAAAACATAGGCAAAGGTGTCTCTTGCTTCAATTATAACTGGCCATGACCTACGCTGCTCGGACACTTCATTTTAGACGAAATACCCATGTCAGATCCACAACAATGGTATGGGATCCTCCTCGTGATTCTTTAGATCAAAAGCGGATCTTTTATATTGTTTTCGTTATTTTCAAATTGTATTTAAAACAATTTCTAATACGTATTCACATTTCTAGACTTAAATGAAATTCAAATGAAATATAACAATTTGCAATTTAATATATTTACAGTTACATATATAATATATATACCAAAAAAATGCATCTAAAATTATCAATAATTAAACTTCTATAGTAATTTAAGTTTATAAAACGTAATCATGTACCCATGTCTAGATTTTGGATCATTTTTAGCCATATTTTCATATCCTGGACTTTAGAAGATATAAAAGGATTTTATTCCTAGATATGTACCCGTATCGGACACCCACCCCGAGTTCAAGTGGCATAGGCCATAACATGCACTATTATGCACACATCTCCAATTTCCTCGAATGTTATATGACTTATACCCATGATGAATAAAAATACACCTTCTGCATATGAAGTCAACCAGAGAAGGAGACAGAAAACAGACAATGGCACCCATATGAAGATGTGAAGAAATTGAAAGTGCATCCAATGGCAGTCACATATAAAGCAGCAAGTTTGGAGCTTTACTCAGGCCTAAAATAGGTTCAAGTAGTGGAATGCAATATAACAATATTATTATATAATTTGAAGTCAAGGACATGTTTTGCACCTGATTTTAAGCTTTGATCCTCATTAACATTTTTTTCAACTTCATTGCCAGCAAATATCTTATTCTGCCTCTTTCTATCTTCATGTTGTTCTTTTCCATTTATTAGCTGTAGCTTATATCGAAGGTCTCCAGCTACAGAATCATCTTCCACTTCTCTTGGCTTCAAATGTTTAGCACCTAATATGTTGGCATTATTCATTGTCATATCTTTGAAGCCTGCAACAAGTTTCACTTTAGATTTCTAGAAAGATTATATTGGTTTTCATGCAAGAACATATCTATTGCTAAAAGCAACAATTTTAATCAATAAACCAATTTTGCATCTATACCCATCTCTTTTCATCGCAAGTGGAAATATGGCTTGTATACCACAGGAAAATAGGTTTGATGTCCTATTTTGTAAGACCTTTGGAGAAAATTTAGTCCTATATGGTTTATTTGATTAAATTGACTGCACAGAGAAAGTTTAGTCCGATATGATTTGTTTGGTGAGGTTGACTGCACATTATTAGACAACTATAATGCATCAACACAGACACGTGCTAACATTCAATTTTTCAAAAAAGTACTGATACGACACCCCCTTGAAACGTTGATTAAATTCTTTAAAAAATTTTATTTTTACAGTATAAATTTAGTTTAATACGTGTTAATAGTTTTCTTGTTAATTTTTTTTTAAATATAACTGAGTTAAAAATATATAATTTTTTTTTTTATAGAGAACGAAAAATGACCACGGTAAAGTTTCGAAGGAGTGTCAGTATCTAATACGTGTCTAACGCAGACATGTCACTCTTAACGTCTCAAATTTTTACTATTAGTTAGATTTAAATTCAGGACTTACGTGTGCTATCATTAAAGTTTAATGACCTTATTGGTTATTGGCCTAGTCTAATAACCTTATTAGTTATTGACCAATAATTTAAGGGCCTAGGTGAAAAGTTATTTTGGAAGTTAGATGAAACCATACGTAAAAATATGCAAATATGCCAATTGGTCTTGATTAAAGATGATTTATTGACCACATGTATTATTCACACCACATTTCAAGCCAATATAATTGATTTGACTACGTAAATAAAGGAAATTAACTTGACGACATGTATTATTTCCATCAAGTTTTAAGCCAAGTGAATTGATTTGACCACATGATTAAAGGTAATGATTTTGACCATTTTCATGACAATGCACCATTTATGCATTGACCATGCCAAACATCTAGCTATTTCTTCACTTTTCTACACATGGTCAAAAATTTAAACTATAAATAAAAGACAAACCCAACACTAAACTACCTCTAAACAACTATTTACACACACTCCCTCTCTACTCTATAACTTTGTGCCTCCACCTCCTTTCTTTCTCTTTTCATTTTTATATTAAATTTAGTTGTACACTTGTACAATCACACGAGAATAATCAAACATACACGCTGCTCAAGGATCTCTTTCAAACAATAACTCTTTTTATCATTTTGAATTGTCCGGTGAAAAAGTAAGGTGTACTTTATGTTTATGGTGGCTAATGTTTATGTATGTAATATTTCGATGGCTATGTTCTATTTAATCCATATTACGTATGTTTTATTAAAAATAGACCGAAGTTTAGTAACGTTATGCATGAGAATTTAGCAACATATAAATTTAGTCTAATTTTCATATCTCCCTATGCAAGTTATGAATTTTCTGTAGTTAAATATAAATGAATTCATTATCCACACACGTTTATTGAAAATTATTCTCACCCTATTATATCTCTATTTTCAAATAATTGACGATTCAAGGCGATCGGTAGGAAGATGGTTTATCGTAGCAAAAGTTTCAATAATCAAATTATTACGTTGTCAAACTATTATTATTTTATTTAATTTTAAATATTTTAAGATATTTCTCGTTTGAAGTTAATTTATTAAACTCATTACATTATTTGAATTTTGGTAAGTGCTTTAATAATTTATATAATTGTGTTAAATATTCTTTAAATTAGTTTTAGTAACACTCGAACAGTTAAGGATTTGGGTTGTCACAGTTGGTATCAGAGCGAATCCACTTTCCTATAGACTCAGATTTTTTTAAAAATTACGTCACTGTTCACGGTATTTTAATTATTTTTTCCTTTTGCTTAGCAAGGAATTTTACAATTCAAATACTATTCTTTCAATTATTAATTCAAAATAAGTCATTAGCTTAAATAAATAAGTTTTAATAAGAATAAAACAATTTCCTGCACGCAACACCATACTCCAAGTCGTCGCCCCTCGAATTAGGTATCTCATAAGTTTCATAGTTATACATAATATCTTTAGTTTATATGTATATATGGTTATGTTGGTTAGGGAAGGAATGCAATTTAAAACAACAATAATAAGTATGACCAGCTACAAAAATTAAAAATATCGCGAGTTAATTGTTTACATGTAGCAGCATAAAGTATTAAAAAGAGATGTCACGTTCTTATTGAATTATAGTACTCAAAATGATATAAATATGTGATATACATTATGCTACCTGTTCAATTGTTGAGAATTGAAGAAAAAAATTAGAAAGACTTTAGATTAGGATATGTCGATTAAGCCCCTGTTTGATCTGCATTCTTTGAAAAAATACATTCTTAAACAGTGTTTTGATATCATTTCAACCACACATTCTTCAATAAATTAATATTATACACAAATCCAAAACTTTTCTTATTTTTTAACCACACATTTCTCATCAATACACTATTCAAAAATTCATTCTTACCAAAAGAATGGGGCTCAAACAAGGGATAAGAATTAACGAAGTAATAATAATAATAATAATAAATAAATAATTCATATTTTAGGCACTTTTAATTTCCATGTATTGTTTAACTTTTCTTGATTTGCGTATTTGCAAGATTGAGAGGCTTTCTCAAAAAGACAAGCTATCTAAAGAGAGCTTGATATTTAAGCCATCCACTCGTGACCTCCTCCTCCACTAGAAGCCTTTTAGTTTAGCGTTATTCAAATCAACAAAACGAAAAAAAATACTGCAGAAAATAATAATAATAAATTCACATCTTTTAAAAAATCAAAGACAAAAAAAAATAAATTCTATTTTTAGAAGCTTTTAAGAACATTTCATTTTTAGAAACATCTATTCCAAGAATTCCTATAGAACCCCATTTCAACAAATCCTCCTTTTAAAGAAACTTTTTTTTTTTTTCAAGAAACTCCAATTTTACAAACTTTTTATAATAATAATAATAAATATGTAAATTTTTTTTCTTCTCATCTTTACTTATTATAAGGTTATTTATAAAAGGCTATGGCACCTCAAGGTAGAAGAACTAACAACATTAAACAACCCCCAACAACCTCAACAGTCAGAACAACCCCAATATGATGGGATTGACCCACAATTTATTTAGTGGGAAGAACAAGCAACTATATGGGCATACGAAAAAGCGCAAGTAGGAAGATAACATGGGCAAAGGACAACAGATATATGGTAAAAAGGTGAAGGAGACCCATTTCAAAGAGGCAATAAATGCTTCCCGTTTTTCAAAAAATTCAAAAAAAAAAAAAACCATCTGGGAGCTTGTCTATTAGGGACGAACACATGTTTTCAGTGTGGAGAAAAGGACATATGGCTAGGTTTTGCCCTAAGATCGAGCAGAAACAGGGAAGCGCACAGCAAATGCAGGAATATGTAGCCAAGGGACAACCAAGAATCTTTGCATTGACTGAACAGGAAGAGGATCAAGATTGTAATATTTTGGCAGGTAACGTTTTAATATCTAACTTACATGCCTATGTATTAATCGATTCTAGTGCCAGTCACTCCTTTATATCCCTTAAATTCGTACAAAGACTAGATGTGATACCTGCACGTTTACCTTTAGAAGTGTCTATACCCTCTGAAAATGTGCTGAACACAAATAATATAATTAAGGCGGCAGGATAGAAAGTGATGGTAGATCTTTAGAGATGAAACTTTATGCATTAGATATGTGTGATTTTGACGTAATTCTTGGGATGAATTGGTTATCCAAGAATTATGCAACAATTCATTATTTCGAGAAGGTCGTGGTCTTCCAAAAACCTGGAGAAGAAGAATTTCAATTATTAGTGACTAAGAGTAGGTCCCTCCCCCAGTGGTGTCTTCAATAAAAGCACAGCGGATCTTACAATTAGGAGGTAGTCTAGATTTCCTCATGTTAGCAATAGACAGAGGAGATAAGAAGTTGATAGTCATTGAAATTAGAGTGGTACATGAATACCCAGAAGTTTTCCCAAATGATTTACCCGACATGCCACCGAAACGAGAAGTGGAGTTTGGAATCGCTCTCACCCCCGAGGCCGCACCAATTTCTAAGGCCCCTTACAGAATGACACCAAAAGAGCTACAAGAATTAAAGGCACAAATACAAGAATTGCTAGAGAATGGATATATCGGATCCAATGCATCACCACAGGGAGCTCCAATACTTTTTGTCAAAAAGACAGATAAACCGATGAGGATATTCATCGATTATCGAGAACTGAACAAGATTACTAATAAGAACAAGTATCCTCTTTCGAGAATTGAGGACTTGTTTGACCAGCTTTGAGATGCAATGGTACTTTCCAAGATCGATTTACGACCAGAATACCACCAAGAATCAAGATAAGTAAGCTCTCGAATATGGTTTTTAAGACTAGATATGGCCACTACGAGTTTTTAATTATGCCATTTAGGTTGACAAATGCTCCCGAAGTATTCATGGACTTGATGAACCATTTTTTTCATGATTTTCTTGACTGATGTCATTGTATTTATTGATGATATCCTAATTTATTCAAGGAGCAAAGAAGAGCATGAGGAACACTTAAGGATTGTGATGAAAATCTTGAAGGAGGAGAAATTGTACGCAAGATTTAAGAAATGTGAATTTTGGTTGGAACGATTAGTATTCCTCGAGCATTGTCATTACAGCTCGAGGAATAGAAGTTGATTTAAGCAAAGTGGAGGCAATTCTGAATTGTAGGAGGCCAACCAGCGTTAGGTAAATTCGCATTTTTCTAGGTTTAGTCGGATATTACTGGAGGTTCATTGAAAGGTTCTCTAAGATATCTGGACCATTAACACAGTTAACTCGTTAGGGTGCAAAATTTCACTAGACCAAAAAGTGTAGCGTAGTTTTGAAGAGTTGAAGCAGAGATCGATGAACGGGCCAGTGTTAATCATACCAGAAGGGACAGAAGGTTTTGTAATTTATAGTGATGCATCTAAGCATGGTTTAGGATGTATCTTGATGCAGCAAGGCAAGGTGATTGCCCACGCGTCAAGGCAATCAAAGCTGTATGAGCAAAATTACCCTACTCACGACTTAGAGCTTGCAGCACTCGTTCATGCACTAAAAATTTGGAGACACTACCTATAAGGGGGCAAGTGTGACATTTATAGAGACCATAAAAGTTAAATACATTTTCACTCAAAAAGAATTGAACATGAGACAAGAGATGGCTTGAGTTAGTGAAGGACTATGACTGCAAAATCCATTATCTCCCAGACAAGGCAAATGTGGTAGCATATGCCTTAAGCAGGAAAACGATGGGTCAAGTAGCGACGTTGACCACACAAAAGCCTTTATAGAAGGCTAAGAAGCACCGACACGTGATTTTTCGAAAAAGTTCCGACACGATAAGTAGTCGATACGTTTATTAAAATATTATTTTTTTAATTTAATATTTTTAAGTAATAATTTTTTTGTAATTTTCGTGTATTACCATTACAAAGAAAGGGGAATGAGGATTTGACATCCCTTGTAAATTTTATTCTTTATTAGGGTAAAATGATAAAAAAATAAATGTTTGGTTTGTTCAGGGAAAATTTGAAAAGAAGGCCTATCAAATAGTTATAGAAAAAGTAAATTTTGCAGACTATTTAATGTTTTAGGCCCAACACATTTTGACTTGAATAGTGGATTTCAATAATATGGCGTATTACCCAAAGTCCAAACACGTGCATCTTCATTTCCTCTTCTACATTTCTTCTTCTTCCTCGGCATCTCTACAAGTGCCTCTTCATTTCCTCTTCTACATTTCTTTCTTCTTCCTCAGCATCTCTGCATTTATTCTTCATGAGCACGGCAGCCACCGATTTTGCTTACTATTTTTAGCTGCATTGTTCATTTCTTCTTTATCTCCGACATGCCACAAGGGACTTCCGACACGTGTCAACGTGTCAAAGACTTACCGGTGTCTAACACGTATTGGACACCGATACGCTAACGCCGGCAACATTTCTGTGCTTCTCAAATGGAAGGAGTTCGAGAGATTAAGTCTTAAGATTGTCACAGCTCCACTTAATGCTGCGGCTCGAATGACAACATTATCAGCCCGACCAACATTTTGTGACAGAATTAAAAGTCATTTTGTGACAAAATTAAAAGTCATCAGAAGGACGACCAGTCCTCGGAGCTTATTAAAGTTGAGATAAAGGCAGAAAAATGGAAGGACTTCACCATAGTTGACAATAAGACATTGAACCATCAGGGACGACTATGCGTACCAAACTTCGAGGGGTTGAAAAAGGAAATATTGGAGGAGACTCACTTTGCTCCATATTAAGTGCATCCAGGAAGTAACAAAATGTACCGAATCTAAAAGTGGTGTTTTGGTGGAGAAGAATAAAGGACATAGCCATATATGTTGAAGGATGTTTGATATGTCACTAAGTGAAGGCCGAACACCAATAACCAGCAGGATTTCTGTAGCCATTATGTTCCAGAATGGAAATGGAAACATGTAACGATTGACTTTGTTGTAGATTTGCCGAAATCAATAAAAGGTCAGGAGGCCATTTCGATTATCGTTGACTGATTAACCAAGTCTACTCATTTCTTATCAGTCCGCATGACTTTTTTATGGACCAATTTGCACAGCTGTATGTTAAGGAACTCGTGAAGTTGCACGGTGTACCCGTTTCAATTGTCTCGGACATAACCCAAGGTTCACATCGAACTTTTGGAATTGCGAACTAAATTGAACTTTAGTACATCTTTCCACCCTCAAATAGATGGTCAATCTCAGCGAAAGATTCAAACATTAGAGGGTATGCTTCGATCGTGTGTTTGAGTTTGGTGAACATCAGGAGAAGCATCTACCTTTAATTGAGTTTGCTTATAACAACAGTAATCACACCTCTATCAACTTGGCACCCTATGAAGCATTGTATGGGAGGAAACACAGATCACCAGTTCATTGGGACAAGGTTGGTGAGCATAAGATTTCGGGTCCAGAGATTATTGAAGAGATTGTACAGGCTATCGAGAAGATTCGTTACAGTATTAAAACGGCTCGAGACAGACATAAAAGCTATGTAGATAAGAGGAGAAACGACTTGAAATTCTTGAAGGAGACAAAGTATTCCTCAAAGTGGCGTCTATGAAGGGAGGATTATGTTTCGGTAAGAAGGGAAAGTTGCAACCAAGATTCATTGTCCCATTCGAAATCTTGAGGCGCTTTGGAAGTGTAGCATATTAGTTGACTTTACCCCTGAACTCCCAGCAATACATTATGTATTTCACGTGTCCATACTCAGAAAGTATGTTCCTGATCCGAGCCATGTAGTGAATTATCAATCGATTGAGTTACAACACAGTTTGAGTTATGAAGAAGTATCGGTCGAAATTATCAATCAGAAATTCAAGCACTTAGAAACAAGGTGATTCCTTTACTAAAAGTGCGATGGCATAATCTCAGTTGAAGAAGCTACTGGAGAGCGAAAAGTGAAAATACAAGACAAGTACCAACAACTCTTCAAAGAATTCCAAGGTACATTTCGACGACAAAATTTATTTTAAGGGGGTAGATTGCAACGTCTCAAATTTTTACTATTAGTTAGATTTAAATTTAAGACTTCAGTGCGCTATCATTAAAGTTTAATGACCTTTTTGGTTATTGGCCTAATCTAATAACTTTATTAGTTATTAACCAATAGTTTAAGGGCCTATGTGGAAATCTGTTTTGGAAATTAGATGAAATCATGCTTAAAACATATATAAATATGCCAATTGGTCTTGATTAAAGATGATTTATTGACCACATGCATTATTTGCACCACATTTCAAGCCAATGTAATTGATTTGACTACGTAAATAAAGGAAATTGATTTGACGACGTGCATTATTTTCACCAATTTTTAAGCCAAGTGAATTGATTTGACCACATGATTAAAGATATTGGTTTGACCATTTTCATAACAATGCACCATTTATGCATTGACCATGCCTAACATCTAGCCATTTCCTTTAACTTGTCTACACATGATCAAGAATTTACACTATAAATAGGAGACGAACCAAACACTAAACTACCCCTCAACAACTATTTACACTCTCCCTCTCTACCTCCATAACTTTGTCTCTCCACCTCCACCTCCTCCTTTTCTCTTTTCATTTTTATATTAAATATAGTCGCACACTTATACAATCACACATGAATAATCAACCCTACACGCTACTTAAGGATCTCCTTCCAACAATAATTCCTTTTATCATTTTGAACTGTCCAATGAAAAAAAAAGTTGTACTTTATGTTTATGGTAGCTAATGTTTATGCATGTAATATTTTTATGACTATATTTTGTTTGGTCCATGTTACGTATGTTTTATTAAAAATGGACCGGAGTTTAGTAGCATTACACACGAGAATTTAGCACCATATAAGTTCGTTCTAATTTCCATGTCTCCCCATGCAAGTTATGATTTTTCCGTAAAAATAAGTATATGAATTCATTATCCACGCATGCTTATTAAGAATTATCCTCACCTCATTATGTCTTTACTTTCAAATAATTGACTATTCGAGGCGGTCGGCACGGAGATGGCTTATGGTTACAAAAGTTTCAATAATCAAATTATTACGTTGTCAAACTATTATTATTTCATTTGATTTTAAATATTTTAAGATATTTCTCGTTTCAAATTAGTTTATTTAACTCATTACATTATTAAATTTTGGTAAGTGCTTTAATAATTTATATAATTGTGTTAAAAATTCTTTAAATTAGTTTTAGTTTCTGATTTAGCGACATTCGAATCGTTAAGGATTTGGGACATCATAGTGACCTTAATTAAAGTGTCCATGCAACACAGTTAGAAAATAATAGGAAAAAGAGAACACAACAATGTTCACTACTGCGTAATAAACATGCTCATCAGGTATTGGAATCAGACAGAGGGCTTTACACGGACCAGAAGTATGTTATAGTAGAACCGAATGTTAGTAAAATCGCACCCAAGAATATGTTCTGCACCTGGTTTTGAGCATTGGTCTCCAGTCACGTATTTATCTTCTTTCTTGTCAGCCCATCTCTGTCGTTTAGCTCCAGAAGATGACTAAAAATGAACAGCAAACACAAAAAGTAAAGCTTAATTGCTGACAAATCTGTATAGTTAACATGATAAAATTTTCATCCAAAAAATGCTCGAAAGTCGACTTGATCATAGAAAGAGCCAAAACAAGAGCCTGAGACGTACAAAGCTCTGAGAATGTTTGGTCAACAAATCATTCATTTTTCATGGTCGAAAATTGGAAAAACAAAGGAGGATTTTGGCTCATAGTTGCAAAGATATTTTCTTGCAAGTACATAATTCATAGATATACAAATAAGCAGGCTACACTTCATCCTGATTGATTCAATGTAGAGAGGATCCTTAAGTGCACATTACACAGGAAGAAATTAAAACAGTAATCTGTTATATAGTAAAAGCTCTAGTCACTTTCCAAGCCCTCTTATTACATGAAATTTTTGTATCAATATTATTTACCAAACATTTTGTGGTATGTTAACTAATCATTTTATTAAGCAAAAGTGGATAAGTAACTCATCAAAGAGAACAGGCTAGAATGATCAAAGGGAGGAAAGAGAGCAAAAAAGAAACACTCATCAACCACACTAACAGATTGAGAATGGCCTCCCGACTCCGCATTGATTGAGCCCTTGTCCTTTGGCTTGCACTTAACCTTTTCTGAATCTCTAGCTTCAAGGTAGCGAAAAACTTCTGGCATAGAGCGAAAATGACGTCCACTAACAGGATCAATGTAGGTCTGCAGAAATCACAGACCAACCAAAATTTGTTCATATTTTCAGAGAAAATATGCAACTGGAGAAAAGAAAAAGAAAAATAGATTTTAGATAATAATAGCATGCATGCATTATGCAGCAAATGAGAATAAGAAAGCTTTCAGAAGAATAACATTATCTGCAACTGCAGAAAAGAATATAATTTGGCTGGAGAAAGTGAACAAAAAATTGGAACGAGAACATAAGGAATTCGGTACCGGGTCGCTCCTGGTCTTGCTACCATTTCTTTTGATTCTAATTTCTTTAACCCATCCTGGAGGTAAATTTTCTGCTACAGTCTTCTTGATGTCAATCTACAATGTTTACAACAAATCATATTCTTTTTTTGATATAGTAAACACATGTAGAAAGAAAAATGTCAAGATTTATACCCAATTATGTAGATTACTGTGAGTCCACCACTTCTTATATGGGTCCCACATTTGGAAATATCACAATGGAATATGTATTCTATATTATGCTAGTTGGAATATTTGTCCTAACATCTAAGCATTACAGCACATGTGAAAAGGTCAAAGGATGTGCTTATGACAAACTTTAGAAGCAGAGTGCTTGCTGGTGTCAACATGCTTGCTGGTGTTAATGTTCTTCAGCTTCCTGGATTTAGTATGTTTTGTCCCAGACCCAGCATTCTTGAGATATCGAAGCACCTCTGGCTTGGAGTTGAATTTTTTATTTGATGGATCAATATAGTACTGCAGAAAACAAAAAATAGCAGTAAGAAACAGCAACACTACTGAAAAAGGAAAATTAGGAGGAGACACTGCAATTGCCATCTTTTCTCCTTTAAGTTCACAATTATTATGATGCTGCAGTATGAACAATAAAGGTAATCTCATCATAGCTAAAATTTTAAAGTCTTTCTGTTAAGAATATAATATGTTGAAACATCCATCTCAAAAGTTGTCATTTTTTGATGTGTCGTATGCTTGAATACACGTCTGTCTGCAACCTCAACCTATGTGTGAGGTGAGAATGAACATATATTTACATAATATATATTTGGCCATTTTTACAACCTTAAGGATTTAGGTTCAACGACAATGGGCAAAGGTCCTTGATTCAAGTCTCAATGCTGTCCATTTATTAAAAACTGTGCACATGAAAGGCTTTAATGGTAAAAAAATAATCCCATCTAAAAATAAGTGGGCGTGTTGAAGATAATATTTAAATAGTATGTGACCTATATAATAATTTAAACTTTTAGATCAACTGATTCATCATAAAACGTGCTACTTCTATGGCACATTATAAAAATAAGAACTAGGAATGGCTACGGGGCGGGTTCAGGCCGGGGACCCATTCCTTGCCCTCACCCCGCTGAGGATTTCCCCACCCCACATCCGTGCTTATGCAGGGTGGGGACGGGAATCCCCGACTCCTGTCCCCCCTTTTTTAATACGTGGCACTATTTTGTAGAAAATGGCAAAAATGAAGAAATTTTCCACTTTCCAACTTTCCTTTTTTAAAGAAGACAATATTGGTGACTTAACTGAATAATTGCTCGTTTTCCCACAACAGGTAATAAATTGGCATCATTCAACACCACAAATCTAAAGAACACACTTTTATCAAAAAAAAAAAAAAAAAAAAATACATGAATAGAGTAAAAGAATATACAGAAACACTTACTTAATTTGATTTCTGAAGTATAGATCAAAATAAAATGATTTGTTTAAGACAATTACCAATTAGGAACAGTCAACAACTATAAAGAAGTTTGTCTCTATGTTTGTGTTGTAAATTTTTCTTTTCTTTTCTTTTCTTTTTCTTTCTTTCTTTCTTTCTTTCTTTCCTTCCTTCCTTCCTTCCTTCTTTCCTTATATATATATATATATATATATATATATGAAGCAAAAGTTAAATGGGGTGGATCCGAGGCGAGGATCATGATCCCTGCTCCGGGTCTAGTTTATTGGCACCATCCCCACCCCGATCGGGCTGGGTCCCATGGGGATTGGTTCCAATGGTTTATTTGTCGTGTAACTTTGGCGATTATAGTGCTATAATCACACAAGCAAGGAAGAAATGTGAGTTAAATGATGAAATAACATACACAACTGCTCTCCTATATCTTTATTGGACACCATGTTTACATATTCATCTCAAAACCAATTGACAGTGAGTGGACATACCATCATGCTCTTGAATAGACACGTGTGAACAAAGTAGAACCTAGAGCTGATACAGTGTTTTGTACATTACATTCGTATCTTCCATAAAATGTCTTTATATTTTCTAGCCTCAAACATTCACATAAATTTAAAGGTCCATTCTATTATAAGGTTATTACTTATTAGACATGGTCCCAAGTGTTCGATTGTTAGAGATCAAAATGCATATAAAATACATGTAGTGGAAATAAGGATGCAGATAAAAGTGTAGTCACACTAGAATGGCTAACACACACAAAAAGAGGAGAATTTATGCCAAAATCTGAAAGATGAACAAATTTAGAGAAAGGACGACTTAGGGAAGGGGATATGTCTTGCACAAAACCAAAGAGGCTCCAAGTCATATGAAGTGAAGCGATTTCAATAGAAGAAGTAAGGAGGAGGAGGGATAAACCAAAGCTACCATGACATGTGTTTGCCAAGGTTCTAGTTTTTTGGATCTTTAACTAGATTTAGCAATATCAATTGACGAGGCAAAAAGATATTCATGTAGCCAACTCCATTTCTTTCAAAATAAGGCTTAGTGTGTTGCAGCCATTGTTGAGACACTCACCTAAATAGACCAAATACATAAATGAAGTATGGTTGGTTTAGGTTTACGAAACCTGTGTAGTCGAATTTGACGGTACTGTGCTTATCGAAAGTAATACTCACCTTGAATGTTGGAAGAAACAGAGCACCAAGCCCAAAGTCATTCAATAGTCACTTATTGCAAGTCATTCTGAATTTTTTGTTCGAGGAGAAAAATCAATAGTTTTAATGTTTTTAGATGAGATAACCGTTTAAGCTTCTAGAGAAAGCTTTTTTAAGAAGGTGGACATTTAATAAGAAACTTCATTCAATGTATATACAATGAAGAAGGCAAAAAGACTCACGTTGTAAAGAAGGAAGATGTGTAAAAGTTTAACGGTCTCAGTTCATGCTAATAAGACAAGACAAATGAGGAAGGAAAATAACCAGTTAAGGTACCCAAGGTATTCTGGAATTACTCAAAAAATAAATGTGCAAATATTAAGTGGATACTCATACTAGGACAAAATGCTAGTGCTGCACATGGTCAATTGCTTTTCCAAAAAGACTGCTCATAGAAAATGGTCTTGATGTGTGCTGCAGTTCACTTTTTCGTGATTTAACTAAGTCCCAACAATTCAAAATATTGATATTCCCGCAAACTAAATCCAGGATATAATGAAGTCCAATGCTTAACGGCATCTCACAATTCTAAATCAAACCACTAAGTGGATAATATATTACCAGATATTATCCTCCTTAATTAGATTATTGATCTTTTATAATAGTACTCAAGGGTATTTTGACAAGTTTATTTTTAAAATAAGTTTACACGAGTCTTAATTGGGATTATTATTGGTATTTTAGTCAAATTTGAAGTATTAATTAATACAAGTACATTGGTGTAATAATTTATCTGTTAACACTTTCTAGTTAAGATCTTACTTTTCATTATAGTAGGAATCCTGAAAATTGTTTTCATACCTATGGATATAGAAAAATCTTTAGAATAATATATCAGTCGGGCTTATTTTCTGAGAATTTTTCTAAAATTGGAGATATTTCTAGCCTTTTGTGGTGATCACCTCTCTTTTCCCTCATAAACGCCCTACTTTTCTTTCTACTGCTTCAATTGCTTCAATTCTCTTTCTGAATTCAGTATACCAAACCTCTATTCAGAACAAAAAATTAAAACCAGATTTCTTAGAATTAATTTTTCACCAGCCCACAAACAGAGACGCTTTCTTCTCCTTCTAAATCCTTCGGCCCCAAAACCTTTTGTGCTTTGCGTTTCCATATGTGAAAATATCAACTCCAACACTTTTTCTTAATTTTCAACCAGAACTTTGACAACCTCGACTGAAAAATTCATCTTCACTTGTGTACTGTAAGCAAGAGCTTTCATACATGTCTCACATCAGGATTGTCACTGATTAAGGACGCTGGACATATGTCAATCATCACCTAAGTTGCTGTGTCTCGGTCATAGCAGAAGTAAATCTTTTAGAGGATTTAGTGGTTTAAGATTTATATACTGTACACCTTAAGAACTGAGAGTTGGCCCAACTACTGGAAGTGCTATTTACTTAAAATTCTCCAGTCCACAACTCCCGTGTACATGTCAAGGGGGATAGAACAAAGTGTTCTTTTATAACACAGATTGAAACAAAATGTAAATGCCCACAATGACCTAGAACTATTGCACAAATAATAAGGAGATGCAACATTCCAAGAAAACTTTTGATGGATTTGTGATAGCTAGGATTTAGTTCATTATATTTTCAAGTCTAACTTTGAGATCATATTGAATGACTAACAAGTCAAAAAGCTAAACAAGCTTAGTTTATATTGTTAGAGAGGACAGATCTATTAATGTACTGAACACATATTTTTCTTCCCAAGATTTTTCCTTTTTACTAAATAGTAAATACCATTCTCTTCTACTGAGATCAGAACAGAGGGTTGTTAGTAAAAAAGAAAAACAGCCACATACAATATTGATACTACCCGAATGGACGTATTGTTTTTAGGATTTTTTTCTTCTTCGTGTCAGAATGTTCCCTAACACAGTCTGATTCCTCATTATTTCTAGGGCAACCCACCTAATTACACCAAACTCTTGGATCCAGGTGATATATATATATTGAACCTAGTTCATTAAGACAATATACGAGGGACAAATCACCCTTAAGGACTGCATATAAGCATGTCTCCTTCAAGATCTAACAATTTTACTTTGTCGCACTATTTTCATGGTTAAATTCCAATTGCTGGACCCTAAAATATTAAGAAAAACCTTGACAAGTCTATGCAGAAGAATGAAAAATAGAGACGAGAGTGCGTTGCGGTCCGCAGATAATTAGAGTAATGATAGTTAGCACCACCATTGCTAAGCATTAGTGTAGGTGTCATTCAAGCGTCAATAATTGATGGATCAAAAAGTAGAGACATGTCTCCTTTAAGATAACTTATCGCTTAAAAGACACAAATTGGTGCGAGTGGTGCCAAGTATAATTATTTGAAACATAATTGCTAACACTCTATGCCATAACAACTAGTCAGATTCGTTGAAAGAGAAAAAATCCCATCTTTTCCTTACCCTTGGAGAAAATCTGTTAGGCACAATCAAGATAAGCAGTCTTCACTAACATGCAAATAACAGGCCAAAACAAACTCAAAAAAAACTACCAAATCAAGGAAAAAAATATATAAAAATATTTAGTACATACCACTCACCAGAAGCCTGTATGAATCTAAATGAAAATAAACATCCAAAATAATTAAGCAGAAGAAAAACAAGCAAAAGCAGTTCAATTTCTCACCTTGTCTTTCTTTCCACTTTGTCGAACTCCAATTTTAATTTTCCAGCCTGCTGGCAGCCAATCTGGGTGGTCACTCATTTCATCAAACTCTCCGAAATTAAGCCGACAGTTTCTATAATAAATATTAACTAAAAAACCAGTTCAAGAAAATACAAAAACATGCATCCCCTTAGGTAAAATCTCGAATTTCTCTCCTCTCTCTCTCTCTCTCTCTCTCTCTCTCTCTCTAGAGTGAAAACGAAGAGCAAAGACTTGACAATAGACTAAGGGGTAGTAATGGGGTTGTGAAAAAGTAGGGAGAATCGGACAAAATGCATTCACAGCCACGTGCTGCCAAACTTTCAGCGTTGCCATTCGAGTAAAGGAAAAACGTGGCCATGATATGGATTATGTATAATCTAGGGTTGAAATTGAATGGTACATTCAAGAATAAATAAATGCATTTTCTTGAATATCTCTCTCTCTTCCTCGTATTTTCTTTTCTTTTTTTGCTTGCTTCATCTTTTGGTTGAGTTTTTGTTCCATACTGGGTTTTATCCTGTTTGACCAGATCCACCATGTGACATACACTGGGGTCTGCGAAGGGTACTTCCCACCAACACCCACAAAAAATTAAAAGGAAAAACAACACACCACAATTTCTTCATAAAATGATGGTCGATTAGATAAATTCTCGTCACTATGTGTAGTATTTTTCAAGAAAGTGGATCATTGATTAGTCGGGTGAAAATTTTTTACCTTGAAAAACAGCTTCAAACCCATATTTTTAATGGGAATAGAGGCAACGAGATGCTTCCTTAGAATTTTATCCCCCTGGGTCCATCACAAGTTCACAAGACACCATTTTAGAAAATAATTTTTGTGGGTTTAGGTTCAGCGCCCATTAATGGATAGTAAATATATAAATGTCAGTTTCATTGTTCCTTTGCCACTTTCCGTCAGTAGTCTATTTATACTTTCTCCTGTATGTGTTTGTGGGGTGCGAGAAATATCACAAGTTATCGACTTTTAACTTTATTAAGAATAAACTTTTCTTGCAGAATAAAATACTATTATATTGTCTAATTTCATTCAGTTTTACGTGTCAAACACTGCACATTTCATTAGCAATAAGCTGTTGATTCCTTTTTAGGTTCATTTATAGTTTATTGAACCCTGCTTAATTAACATTCAAGACTTGCTCTCGATTCTAGATGTCCTTTACGGAAAGTACACTAAAAGCTACTTGAGAACATACAAAAATACATAACATGTTCTCCAAATAATTACAAAAAAAAAAAAAAAAATGTAGAAGAAAAATATATGTTCACAGCTTTTCATATAAAAACTCTTGAATTTGAATGAGGTGCATGAGCAGCATGTACAGATAACTAAACTGATTTGTTAAGATCACCTTCAATCATTCACTAAAATTTGAGATAAATTTTGCATCATTTTGTGCCAAGCTGAAAATCATCTCCATCCTATTACACTAAAAATTGTATCAAATGAACAATTTTTAATTATTTTCTTCACGTTTTTTCATTCTTAATGATTTATTTGTCTTAAATTATTAATTTATTCAATTTACTACTACATAAATTACTAAATAAATAATTACTTTATGTTAACGATGTAAGGATTTTTTAATCAATAGATGGGCTTTTATGTGTGAATAATTGTGTGTTAAATTAAAGGCTATCGAATTCGATTGAGCCCAATTAAAATGATCTAATAAGGCTTCGATTTTTGGGTTTTAATGTATCCAATTAAAGTGTGAGTTTACATATGTGTAGAGATCGGACCCAAATTCTAATTCTATGATGGACCGAATTAGGTCAAAGGGTGTCGCTATATAAATATGGTTATGGTTCCCAAATCACACGTACGTATTATTCATTCTCTACTGCATCTCATCACAGAAAGAAAAAGGAGACTACGTATAGATTTGGAAGACTATACCGCGAAATTCATTATTGCATTAATCATGTCTGATTCAGGTACGCTTTCGCTTTAATTTTTTGATTTAACATGAAAGATCCGGTGATTTAAAGCATTAATTTATCCTACAAGTGGTATCAGAGCCTTTTCTTGTTGAATCATTGAGAATCGAATAATTTATTTGGTTCTTGCAATATTTTTATGAAGTTTTCAAATTTGACAGTCTTGGATTTAGTTTTGTTGAATTTGAAAACTATTCGGTATAATTTTTCATTATCTTTCATAATTTGGATTAAATATAATCGAGTTTGAGAAATTTCAGATTATGGATTTTTTTATGATTTTGATTCAGATTTCGGTTAAAAAAAATATTTTGTGTTGCTGCCGGCCAACAGCCGAGGAGGCAGCTTCGCGCTGCATGCGAGCAGCAGCGTCGGCGCCATTGGTTCAGGCGCACGCCGCCAAGAAGGAGAAGAAATTTTTTTTAGGGTTTTCTGTTTTTGAGTTGATTTTGGGGGCGGGGGTTTCCTCTGTAAATTAGGAAATTTGAGGCCCCTATTTGCAATTAAGGTTAGATTTATAAAATTAAGGTTTCAGTCCCTAACCTTTAAGTTACATTAAGATTTGGGTCTTTAAGTTTTGGATTTAATAATTCAGTCCTTAAGGTTTAAAATTAATTAATTTGGACCATTAAAGTTCTAACTTTTCTAATTAAAGCCCTCAAAATTTAATTATTAATTCAAATTGGCCCCCTAAGTTTATAATTAATTCAAATTGACCCCCAAAGTTTCAAATTTTCAAAATTTGATCCCTAAAGTTTTGAATTGGTCAATTTGGCGCCTAAAGTTTTAAAATTTGTTCTAATTGGTCCTCTAAAGTATTGAATTAATTAATTATGGTCCCTAAAGTTTCAAGTTTATTAATTTCAACCCCTAAACTTTGGAATTAATTAATTTAACCCCCTTAAAGTTTTGAATTATTAATTTTAAGGCCCCTAAAGTTTAAAACTAAATCAAATATGCAAAATTGGTGATTCTCTTTCTCAAATTTTGGTACTAAGGACTCTTTTAAGAGATATAATATTCGAAAGTTAGTTAATTGAAACAATATGTTGCCAAAGCAACATCTCTTGTGTAAATTGACTAACTTAGAATATTAAAAGATGTTTGTGCATGTGTTATTCATGGGAATATTGGTCTGCCCAAAGGAAGGTCGATATTTATCCGAATACACGTGCACCTGTGGTGATAAACGTGTGACGATTATTTGGTTTAATATGTGATCAATAAATTGATCCAAAGAAAGGTTTGTTGATTGAAACGTTGTTTTATCGTCAATGTTTGATCACTACGCTAAGAGTACTGCTTACAAGTCAATATCTCTGTCCAAAGACTAGATATTGATGTTGTGCTTGGTATCTTGTGATAGGCCCTACCACTATTTGAGATTATTTTATTTGCATATTAAAGATATTCATGTGAGCTGTTCATAATAATCGTTCTCTAATTCAGTTTCAAGTTCTGCTGCTAATATCTCTGCTAGCATTAATTCAATTCCAATGCTTAATGGCACAAATTTCAGGGCATGGCAAGAGAACGTGATGATTGTTCTCAGAGTCATGGACCTAGACCTTGCTTTACGGGTTGATCAACATGTTGCAATTACTGATAGGAGTACCTCTGATGATAAGAGGGAGATGGAAAAATGGGAATGATCGAACCGCATAAGCTTAATGGTCATGAAGATTGCTATTCCAGAAGCATTCCGGGGCACTATGTCCGATAAGGTGACTACGGCTAATGGTTTCCTTGAGAATCTTGAGAAGAGGTTTGCCAGGAATGAAAAGGCTGGAACAAGTACACTTTTGGCGAACCTTATCTCAATGAGGTATAAAGGGAAAGGAAACATTCGGGAGTACATTATGGAAATGTCTCACATTGCTTCAAAACTAAAGGCACTCAAGTTGGATTTATCTGAAGACTTGATGGTGCACTTGGTTTTGATATCCCTTCTGGCACATTTCAGTCAATTCAAGGTGAGCTACAACTGTCAAAAGGACTCATGGTCCTTTAATGAGCTCATCTCACACTGTGTCCAGGAAGAGGAAAGACTGAAGCATAAGAAGACAAAAGGTGCTCATTTGGTCACCACCTCTAAGGACAAAATGAACAAGAAAATGAAGATTAATAAGGAAGTTACCGTACGGCACCGCAAAAGAAATAGCATAAGGAACCAACTGAACGTAGTTGTTTCTTCTGTGGAGCTGTAGGTCATAAGAAGAAGAATTGCACCAATTACCACGCATGTCGTGTAAAGAAATGTATTCTTCTTCATTTGGTTTGTTCTGAAGTTAATTTAATTTCGGTACCTAGACATACATGGTGGATAGATTCTGGTGCAACAACTCACATCAGCATATCTATGTAGGGTTGCTTGAGTTGTCGAAAACCAAGTGATGGTGAAAGATACATCTATGCTGGCGACGACAAGAAGGTGGAAGTAGAGGCAATAGGAAAATTTCGATTATTGTTAAAGACTGTATTTTATTTGGATCTTGTTGAGACATTTATTGTATCGTCTTTTAAACAGAATTTGATTTCTATTTCTGTTTTGGACAAATTTGGTTATACTTGTTCATTTGGAAATGGAATATTTAGTTTGTTTCATGATTCAAAATTGGTTGGTTCCGGTTCTTTATCAGACTACGATAATCTTTATTCAATTGATACAATTGCTTCTTTTAATGAATCCCTGCATGTAAGTAATCAAAGTGTAAAGCGAAAATTAACCAGTGAGAACTCTGCCTCGTTGTGACACAAGAGATTAGGTCACATCTCCAAAAGGAGAATTGAGAGACTTGTGTTAGACGGGATTCTTGACCCTTTTGACTTTACAGATTATGATTTGTGTGTCAACTGAATAAAGGGAAAACAAACCAATAAAATGAGCTTTCAAGCCAATAGGACTTCGGACGTTTTAGAACTTATACATACGGATATTTGTGGACCATTCCCTACGAGTTCTTGAAATGGTCAACAATATTTTATAACGTTCATAGACGACTTTTCAAGATATGGCTACGTATATCTCATTCATGAAAAATTACAGTCACTGGGTGTGTTCAAAAATTATAAAGTTGAAGTTGAGAACCAACTCAGCAAAACGATTAAAAGCGTCAAATCTGACCGTGGGGTGAATACTATGGCAGATATGACGGTTCAGGTGAACAGCATCCAGGACCATTTGCTAAATTCCTAGAGGAATGCGGTATCGTCCCATAATACAATATGCCGGGTTCGCCCACTATGAATGGTATTGCTGAGAGACGAAACAGAACGCTTAAAGACATGGTGAGAAGTATGATTAGTCATTCTACCTTTTCAGAATCTCTCTGGGGTGAAACATTAAAGACCTCAGCTTCTATACCCAACAGAGTTTCAACTAAGGCCACTGATAAAACCCCATATGAGCTTTGGACGGGTAAGAAGCCTAGTTTGAAGCATATACATATTTGGGGGTTTCCAGTTGAGGCAAGGCCCTATAAGCCAAATGAAAAGAA